AGCAGCAACGTTATTATTCGCCAGTGATGTACCCACGCCGGAAAAAAAGTGAAAGAGTTGGACGGAATACCTAAAAAATGAATCAAAATCGTAAAGAAAAAAAGGGGAAGGGACTATTCCATTTAGATATTATTTTAATCCAGTTAATCTGAGCTTGAAGCTCCTCACTGGAGCTACTTTGTTGCAGCGAGCAAAGGGGAAAAACGGGAATGGGGTTTTGGAGTTTCTGATTCTTATTTGCTGGAGAAGGAGGAAATGGGATGATGGGTTAGTTTGGTTACTGGTGACAGCATGAAAGAGGAGGGAATGGGGTCTACTTGTAGTGGGTCTGGCCACTTTGGCCGGAAATGGGTGATGGTTGGCGGCTATGGTGTTTTCAATGTGGAGGAAGGGAGGAGGGTCCCTGGAAAAAATGGAGAAAATGAAATGGGATTCTGGGGGGTGATTTTGACTTTGCCGGAAAATACTCCGGGAAGGGTTGTGGCCGAAAAAGTATGTACACTAAAGAATATCTTTAAGATTTAAAAAATCTGAAAAGAAAAATTAGTCCTATAATTTATCCACCAACCAAAAACCTAATGGACTAACTATTTTATATATAAGGAGTTGAAAATTATGGGCCCAAGTTATGAGCTTGAGGCCAAGTTATGAGCTTGAGGTTCTGACCCAAAAAATATTAGTTGATAAAATATCTGTGTATGTAAATTTTATTAGAATTTGAATAAATTTTTAGACTGCACAGAACATCAAATTAATACTAATTAACAATGTAACAGAGAAAGAAAATTTATATAAAAAAATGTAATAAACCTAACCAATTATATGTAAAAATGCAATTTAACAGAAATAATGATTCTATAAAAAAAGAACAAATATTTGACCGTCTGGTTGTAATAAGATAATATAAACATAACAACCGATAAAAATCTTAATACACAGAGGAGAAGGACAATTATCAATAAATTTCATTAAAATGACAAAAATATATAATTTGAACTATTAAAAATAAATGACGTATTAATTTTCAAACTATTATATCGAAATGTGGTCTCAATAACTTGCCTCTTTGTATAATTAGGATCGATGAAAGAGATCTTGATCAAACAAAGTTGACGAACCCAAATCTGGCTTGATAAACTTTGAACAAAACAATTGAGACACTAGTAGAGATTTTGAGCAAGATTCTACATTCGTCGACTGGACTGAAAATAATAAACAAAAGACAGATATTAATTGTAAACTGAGAATGTTCACATACCTTCGATGTTACTCGCAAAATATCACAATAAAGGCGGTGTACCTTTTTAAAAGAAGGATGATGCGAATAACATGTCACTTTGAATTAGGTGAAAACCCAACATGTCTCTTTAAAAGGCGGACAACCGAACTGGAACTTAACATGTCACTTTGAACGAGGTGACAACCCAACTTGTCTCTTTGAAAGGAGGATGACCCAACTTGAACTTAACATGTCCTTTTAAGGGAGATAACAACCCAATCTTGTCTTTTTAAAAGGCGGTCGACCCAATTTGATCATAACATGTCATTTGAAGGGACATGACAACCCAATCTTGAACTTAACGTGTCATTTGAAGGGAGATGACAACCCAATCTTGAACTTAAAGTGTCAATTGAAGGATGTGATGACCCAACATGTCTCTTTGAATCGGACGACCCAACTTGAACATATCATGTCACTTTGAACAAGGTGAGAACTCAAATTGTCTCTTTGAAAGGCGTACAACCCAATTTGAGCATAACATGTCACTTTGAACGAGGTGACAACTCAATGCGTCTCTTTGAAAGGAGGAAAACCCAATTTGAACATAACATGTCACTCTTTGAAAGACGGACAACCCAATTTGAACATAACATATCACTTTGAACGAGTTGACAACCCAACGTGTCTCTTTGAAAGATGGAGCACCAAACTTGAACTTAACATGTCATTTGAAGGTACATGACAATCCAATCTTGAACTTAATGTGTCATTTGAAGGAAGATTACAACCCAATCTTGAACTTAATGTGTCATTTGAATGGAGATGACAACCCAATCTTGTCTCTTTGAAAGGCGGACGACCTGAACTTGCAACTTAACATGAATGCCATATCACAAAATCTGCAATATCAATGTTAGTATCAAATATAACATAAATTATGCAAACATGACCATATGAACAAGGTATTAACCAATGCAACAATTCAAACTTAATAACATCATGAATTAAATAAAATGTCAATTTAAAATGGAATAACACAATAAAAAGTGTCATATTTAACGGCATGACAAACCAATTTCAAAAGAATTAATTTATTTAAGATAATAAATTAATTTCTAAAAGATATCATTTTGAAAGTTATGACGACCTAAAATAAAAAAAAATGTCATTTTGAAGGGTATGGCTATCCAAATTTCAGAAAATGTCATTTTGAAGGGTATGATGACCCAAATAAAAAAATGTCAAAAAATAAAGAAAAATGTCATTTTGAAGGATATGACGACTCAAAAATAAAAGATGTCATTTTAAATGGTATGACTATCAAAATTAAAAAGATGTCATTTTGAAAGGTATGAATACCAAAAAATAAAAGATGTCATTTTGAAAGGTATGACTACCAAAAATTTGAAATTTAAACTTTGAAATGGTTCACGAAGTTATTTGGAAGAATATCAACAATGAAATGATCCACAAAATTAGTATAGACAAAATATCCACAATGGAACAGTCCACATAGTTGGTATGGACAAACATGGGGGATTAATATAAAATGACGTCAATTTGAAAGTTATGACAACCCAAATTTAAAAGATGTCATTTTGAAGGGTATGACTATCAAAAAATAAAAAGATGTCATTTTGAAGGGTATGACTATCAAAAATGCAATTTGAACTTTGAAATGGTCCACAACGTTATTTGGACAAATATGATGATAAAAATTTAAAATGATGCCAGTTTGAAGGATATGATGACCAAAATTCAAAAAAGATGCCATTTGAAGGGTATGACTACCAAAAATAAAAAAAGATCTCATTTGGAAGGGTATGACTACCGATAATAAAAAAGAAGTCATTTTGAAGGGTATGACTACTGAAAAATGCAATTTAAACTTTGAAATGGTCTACAATATTTTTTTTGACAAATATGAGGCATAAATTTAAAATAATACCAGTTTGAAGGTATAACGATCCAAATTAAAAAAGATGTCATTTTGAATGGTATGACTACCAAAAAATAAAAATGTGTTATTTTGAAGGGTATGGCTACCAAAAAATACAATGCGAACATTGAAACAGTCCACAAAGTTATTTGGACAAATATCAACAATGAAACGATCCACAAAGTTGGTATGGACAAATATGGAAAAGTAGATTTTAACCCATTTTTATTTTATGAACAATGAAACATATTTTATTTCTCACAATTTTTCTCTTTCAACTGAAATTGACATCGAGGTAAATCCTATGGATTCAAGTGGTACCTCAAATGTACTTACGTAACGACAAGATCTGTCCATCTTGCTAAAAATAAATTCTTTAAACTAGACCTAAAATCATGTTTCAAGTGCGCTCATAAGAAAGAAAATTTTAATTTGTGCATATTTCAAGTGTTTTGATTTAAAAGCATATTGAAAAAACAGAAAAATATTCAATGCATGCAATTGTGATACCATAGGATTGACCTTCATGTAAATCTCCACTAATATGAGAACATTTGAATTGAAATCATGTAGGGCTTGTTAATAGCTTGTAATGCAGGATTAGGGACATGTATAATAATCATTTGGGATTAAAGTAACTTATTTCTTCTTTAGCATTGCACTAAATAGATACTTTCAACATTTATTACGCTTTTAGTGTTTGATTCTCTTTGTTGTCCCTTCCTATTGCACTTTTTACTTCTTTGAAACTTTTTTTATTTGAGTTTTTCACTTTTGAATTTTTTCCTTTTTGTTTGGAGTGTTTATGTTCTTTTTTTGAAATTCTGTTTGCTTAAACTTGTGGGGAATTTTGAACACTTTGTATTTTTTCTTTGTTTTGAGGTCATTTTTGTTTTCATGACATTCAGGGACTTTGATAACTTTTGTCTTTGACAAATTTGGACTTTGGATCTTCTCTTATAACTTTCATGTCTTCAGTGCGCTCAAGAAAGTCTGGTCAAAAGAGGGATAGTGCGCAAAAGCACTTAGAAAAGGTATAGGCTTAGATGTGGTTGTCCAAAGAAAAGACTTAAGGTTCAAAGTGGGACACACTAAGAATATATGTCATTTGGTAAGATTTGAAAGGTTGAAGCGGGTCAAAGAAGGACTACAATCATTTTTCAAATCAAACATTACTAATAGTTTTGCCTCAATAACATTTAGGCCAAGTTCTAGATCAACAATGTGAAACAATTGAATTTAATTCAAAACTCACCACACAATTCACATGAAACAACGAATCTGGTTTTGTTCTAATTTTGAATGTATACAAGAGAATTTTACAAGTGTGAGAAAAGTATAAAGGAGAAGTACCGAAAAAAATCTATGATTTAACAAGAAGTCAATCTTCTTTATTGTACACATTATTTTCACATGCACACTTGAACTGTGTTGACACTAACCAAGTCAAAAAATGATTTTAAAATATAAACACTAAAAGAATAAAAAATAGAATATCTTTTGAATAAAGAATACTGAACCCAATAAGGTCTGCCTACGTATCTCATTGATAAGAATCAGGTTCGCGTAGTTCTTCTAGACATGACATAAAACCTATATTTGAACATATAAATTTTTGGAAGGAAAAATAATAGGAATGAAAAACCAATGAGTCAGATTAGAAGGCGGGCAACCAAATTTAACAAAAATTATTTTTAATTATTTAAACAAAACTTAACAAGCATGAAGAAATCAAAGAGTCACATTGAAGGCGGACCACCTAAATTTAACGAAAAAAGAATTTTTTTAAATTAAAGAAAAACAATAAAAGTAAAAAAATAAATGAGTTACATTGAAGGGTAGACAACCCAACTTAAAAAATTTCAAATAAAACCATCTTTTGTAATGAAATGCTGGATAAATAAAAATCAAAGTTATACAATGAATATCATCATATAAAAAAATTAAAGCAAAATATATGAACTAACTGAGAGTGAAGCTTAATAAATTATGGAGTCTGTGTACAACCTTGATGGAATTTTTATGGGCATTCCTTAAAAATTTTGCCCCTGTTTCAGCTTCAACAAACCTCTGGTGTTTAACAACTTTCTCCATTGTAAATTTTTTGAAGACTTTCGCAAAAATTTTGCCCCAGTTTCTGTATTAAAAATTTGGAATGCTTACGGGGAAGATGACCGAGCCTTGATAGAGCCTACGTATCCTGTTGAAGCAGGAATCAGGTCAAACGTAGTTCCAACAAATTATAACTTGAATAAAAACTCGCTTGAATTATGAATATTCTAAAACTAGGTTAGCAAGAGTGATTTTAAAATAATAGACTATTATACAACATATTCACATATAACAAGTATATCACATAACATGCAAACAATGAATACATGTCTTATACAAATGTGTCTCGAGTTTTGTGTCATGCTTAATATGAGGTTTTGGCTTCACTCTACACTAGCTGACTAAGAGAGGGCTTAAAGAGAGACCTGTTTACTCGAGTTGGACAAACTACTGGATGAAGTATAATAAACAACGTTGGATGACTGCAAGCCAACTATTTGTTTATCACTTTAAAAAAATTCGAAGGTGTTTTTTTGAAGGACAGCTGTGAAAAGCCACGTAACCATCTTTGTCCTAATGCATTCTATTTTCCATTTGGCGGAAATTATTTCATTAAATGCAATGACAATATACAATAAACAATAAATAAATAATGAGTACGATATGCAAATAATCAACAAAATATAATAGATATAATGAATAACACAATAAAGAATAATATCCTTAATTTGAAAAAATAAGCCCAGAATGTTAGAACCACTACTTTTCCACCTAGAGTCGCCATTCTGTTGACATCATTTGAATGGGAGCAACATCGCGATGACTCAATTAAAAAAGAATTTACTTAAAATTTATAAAGGTTTAAAAAGGGTTAAAAGGGGTAAAATGAGTTTAAAGGGATAAAAGGGAGCCGTCACCTAATTTTTAGGAAAACTAGGAAACCAATTAATAAATTAACTTAAAAGATAGTCTATGAAATCAATTGATCTAGGTAAGGGGTTCAAACTATTTCGAAGGGAAGGGGTTAGGCATCCTTTGAAATCCACAGTTGTGGTTCTCGATTGAGTTCATCTTTTCAAATTGAGGAGGAGAATAAAATATTGTACAAATATAATAAACATTCCATATACACAATAAAATGCAATAATAATATCGACTTGAGGTTTACCTAAAATCGGTATGTACAAAATAATGAATTTAAAAAAAATGTAATTCGAACTCCTTTCGAATAACTTCAAGGAAGCAAGTCTTGGGTACTTGTAAACACACTTAGTTAAAGTGTTAGTAATAAATAAATATGAATAAAATTGAATATAAGAAATAATAATTTGAAATAAAAAACCCGTCTTATTAATATGGGAGGCTTTAGAAACGACGGTAATTTCTTCATCCGCCAAATTTAACAAATAAATAATATAAACTTGATTAAATTTTCCATCTTTTATAATGGGGAAGTCTCCAAAACTGGCGGATAGATTTTATCATTGGTCAATTTTAAATTATGACCTGTATAAATATTAATGATAACGAAAAGTGAAAGTAACAAAATACGATAAAAAGATAACATGCCAATAATAATAAATGTAACATATCATCAAAATGAGGTATGTCTACCACAAAACTCAACTTAATGGAAAGATTTTAATATTTACAAAATGAATGTGTGGAAACTAAGCTTTTAACACAAAAATCAAAATAATATAACTAAAAGAAAGGGGAATTTAATAAATAGTGCCAAATTGATGTAAAACATTTCAGACCGTGAAACATTTCATTAATTATATTATAACTAAAGACAAAAATGAAATTACAGCAAAACACAATCACTTTTACTATGACTAAACAACTCATTAAAAATAAATTTACCAATAAAAATAAGCAACATAAACCAACTCAACAAACAATGAAAACAATAACAATAAAATTATGAGAAAGAGCCCAACATTACAAAAGATAATGCAACAATTAATATAAATGTCTAAACAAAATAGTGACTTATATGATTTGTCAAAATATTACCATTTCCGGACAGATCTGAATTCATTTCTAACCGGAGCTTTGAGCAGCAACTTTATTATTCGCCGGTGATGTACCCACGCCGAAAAAAAAGTGAAAGAGTTGGACGGAATACCTACAAAATGAATCAAAACCGTAAAGAGAAAAAGGGGAAGGGACCATTCCATTTAGCTCTTATTTTGCTTTAGTTCATCGGAGCTTGAAGCTCCTCACAAGAGCTACTTTGTTGTAGCGATCAAAGGGGAAACACGGGGATGGAGTTTTGGAGTTTCTGGCTCTTATTCGCTGTAGAAGGAGGAAATGGGATGATGGGTTAGTTTGGTTGCTGGTGACAACATGAAATAAGAGGGACTGGGGTCTTCTTGTGGTGGGTCTGGCAAAGATTTGGCCAGAAATAGGTGATGGTTGACTGCTATGGTGTTTTCTAGGTGGAGGAAGGGAGGAGGGTCTCTGGAAAAAATGGGGAAAACGAAATGGGATTTGGGGGGTGGTTTTGACTTCGCCGGAAAATGCTCCGGGAAGGGTGGTGGCCGGAAAAGTATGTACAATAAATAATATCTTTAAGATTAAGAAAATCTGGAAAATAAATTAGTCCTATAATTTATATACCACCAAAAACCTAATGGAATACCTATTTCATATATAGGTAGTTGAAAACTCTGGGCCCAAGTTATGAACTTGAGGTTGTGACCGAAAAATATCGATTGATAAAATATCTGTGTATGTAAATTGTATTCAAATTTGAATGAGTTTTTTAGACTACGCAGAATATCAAAATGAATATTATTTAACAATGTAACAGAGAAAGAAAATGAATATACAAAAATGTAATAAACATAATCAATTATATGTAAAAAAATGCAATTTAACAGAAATAATGATTCTATTAAAAATGAACAAATATTTGAACGTTTGGTTGTGACAAGATAATGTCAACATAACAACCGACAACAATCTTAGTACTTTGAGGAAAAGGATGATTATCAACAAATTTCAATAAAATGAAAAAACATGTGATTTGAACTTTCTAAAATAAACGACGTATTCATTTTAAAACTATCAGACCGAAATATAGTGTCAACAACTTCATTCTTCTTCTTTAACCTCTTGAATTTCGTGCATGATTTTCTCTATTTTTATCTGTAACTCTTCTCCGGTAAGTTCCATCCTGATATTCTTACCCTTTCCCATAGCTGCGATTTTTCCTTCCCTAAGACGATAGAGTAGTGTTTTAGGAGTTGGAGATAGGATTTTTCTTTTGATTGAGAAACTCAAGACTCCAAAAATTTGGTCGGACTTTTTAATAGTGACTTGTATATCTTTTGACAATTTCTGACAAGGAGTGGGTTTACGATATCCTCATTACATCAACATAGGACATAAACAGTTACAAAACACATATATTTTCATTCACATCAACATACCCGACTTCGTATCTATTTTAAGCGATACTTCCTTTTATGTTGACGCACACGATCAACTCTTAGAGGATGGCTTTGGCGAAAGTATTTTAATATACCCGTTATAATAAATAACGAAGGAGCTAGTATCCCCTTGGACGGGTGTGGTATATATCTTGCCGAATTGCGGCATCACCCTATTTGGGTTGTAGGGTCGCATTCCTCTAATGCCGGAAGGACCAAAAAAAGACGTTTGACCCTTCGAGTGGCTATCTTCTATGACATAAAATTCTGAAGCATCCACTGTATGTGTCCTTTTCTTAGGTCATAAAATACTCTTGCCCATGCATACCTTGTATTGTGAATTGGGACATGCGGACGCTTAGATAGAACTCGTAATTGTCAAAGAGAATCGTCTGACTCGGTTTGGACAACTCTTGCTACTGGGAATCGTCTCTTTTACATAGATTTTTTCTCATCCACCACTGAATCAGGATGTTGCACGCTTGGAAAATTTTTAAGTCACGACCAGAGTCTAGACCCCAGACGAGACCGGCGTCGTTAACCTTTCAAAGGTCGCAGACAAGCCTACATACGTCATTCTTAGTTCATCTAGATTAATTTTAGCAGAAAATTTGAAACATTTTGTTTCCTAACATGTTTACTAAACATTCTATCACATATATAATTGTTAATCATCAACCATCTAACATTAATATCATCAAATGAAAGAAATAGTTCTTAGCTGCATTAAATGTGTACTTGCCAAAACGGCACCAATACAAAGTCTGAAATGTAATAGGAAATGAAACACTAGTGGAACATGCTCAACTATCTAAAGCCTAAATCTAAGCTACATAATAACATTATATAGCCTTACAAGCATGAGGGCCTACCAAGTCCGAATGATAGCTCCACATCCGGATATCTGCAACGTCAACCTGTAAGATCTAGCATCCACCTGTGCCTGAACCTAAAAATTAAGAGTTGTATGGAATTAGTACACACTTTTACTAAGTATGGGTATATGAAATCACACACCAAGGACATGCATGAGAAATGATAGCTCTTTCCTAACAACATGATTATGGAAAGAGAAGTCAGTGGACTTGCCAAATTGAGATTAGGAAAGTTAGTGAACTTTCCAAATTTGGATTAGGAAAGTTAGTAAGCTTTCCAAATTTGGATTAGGAAAGTCATTCCATGAGAGTAACATGGATCATCATACTTATAATATTGCACATATCACATAACATCTAACACATAGAACATATCATATAACATATAGCACATAACATCTTTTGTAACACTCATTTATATGCCATGATTCCTTGGAATCATGGACTTCATTTGCAAACACAGAGTATGCTTCATTCATTCATACGTAATTCATTTCATTTCGTTCATCAGCTTGTGTGAACACCAGCTATACCTAGGATATAGAATTAAGACTTTCATCGCGTTTGCTGTGCAATGATCAAGAATAACCTAGTGTCATTACTTGAATCTAGCTCACCTCTTGATTATCCTATCCTAAAACCTTTGGTATCGTTCATTTCTCTATTTGTATCATTTGAGGCTGGCCCCATTTATCCATTGGGAACATTAACATTATCGACATAGATCATGTGAGCATCGTGAAATCCAGTGTCTACCCCAGACCGAAAAGAGGTGGAATTACCGTCAAAAGTGTCACAAAGCATGCTAGCATACATGGAAATAGAACACAACTAGATCCCTATATTGGCAGTATAGGTTTGAAGACTGGGAGATATAAGGGGACCCATAACCAGCATGCTGGATAGCTCATCTCATGAGAGTTATGTGAACTTCAACCCTTCCTAAAAGAAGGCATCACCGCTCATTGCTAGTCTATCGGTGCTCAGTATAAAGTTCAATTACATTTAAATCATACATCATGGAAGCTGGCTTCTAGTATGAGGACATCATAGATCAATAGATGATTTCTCATCTCATGATTAGTATTAAGTGTGCTAATCTCAATACTTTCATTTGATTGTTCATAGAGACTGGTCTCTTCATTAACTTTACACTCTCATAGGTGAGTACGTTTTTGTAACATTTACTTAGGATCCTTTGAGATTGCTCTTATCTTTTACATTATCCTCATATCATGTTTTTACCACATTCATTAACATTAGCACATTTGTTCCTCATAATTACTCATCCCTTTTTACGTGAATGTTCATTTCATCATATGCCAATGCACTTGACCATTTAGTGTGTTTCACACTCTTACTTAACCCTTCTAGAGTTTCATCACTTCATTTTTCAAATCATCATTTCATTCTTCATTTCGTCATAAGCCAATGCACATGGCCATTTAGTGTATCTTACACTCGTACTTAACCCTTCTAGGTTTTTATCATTTCGTTACATACATATTAGGTTCACTTATTTTTAATCGTATGCTACACTTATGGGTCTATACATACAAGCCATGAGGCTTCATTCATTATTTGTTAAGTGAATAATATTTTCCTAAGATTATGTATTACAAGACTTATGTATCTTGTATGTATGCCAAGATCTTGATTTCGATCTAAGTAGGTGGGAATCCTTGAACATTTAATTCACGTATGATTTATGTATCAATACGGAAATTTGGGAAAAGGAACCTAAGTTTGAACTGCTTGGACAATACTTACATTTTTCCTTGACTTTATTTTTAGTTTTCATGACATTGGGACCCTAGATTGAGCCTTAACATTAACATTCTATCTTTATTTTCTCCTTTTTTTCCTCCTCTTATTTGGCCGAAGGGTTGTGGGATCGAACCCCCACAACCCCTTTTTATTTTATATTTAAAATTTGCATTGTCCAATTCGCCTAGACCAAGAGGTTGTGGGATCAGACCCCCACAACCTCTTTTTATTTTATTCATTATTTCACTGGAAATTGGGAGGTTGTGGGTTCGAACCCCCACAACCTCCTTACTTTATTCTTAATTTTGCTAGGGTTGTGAGGTTGTGGGTTCGAGCCCCCATAACCTCCTTATTTTATTTTTAATTAAAATTGTCTTAGCTAGGCGTTTGACAATGAGGTTGTGGGATCGATTCCCCATAGCCTCACTTTATTTTCTAATTTATTTCGCTCTTCTCCTTTCCAGCCTTGAGGTCGTGGATTCGATTACCACGCCTCCCATTATATTTATTTTAAGTTTTTCATTCTCCTTACTCACCTTTACAACCCATTTTGAATCCCCCCAGCCACATTTCTTTCTTTCTTGCGAGATTAAGGTTCCACATGGGTGACGTCACAAGTTCGAATCCTGTTGGCCTCACCCCTTTAAATTAATTTAATTTACAAATTTCTCTTCTATATTTTACTTATATTTTTGGCTGTACACTTAATCATTTTATTAACTTATTTTATCAATATTTCCACTTGAAAACTTGGGAAGATTCATGGATCGTTTAACACTTTTTGGGGTGTATTTCATGGATTCGTTTAGCTAAATTATTGGTGCTCAAATAAGCCCCACTTCCATTTTTATAACATCATGATTTACATAGATTTATGTACGTAAAATGAAAACCAAAACAATATTAAACTTGAAGCCTTAACTTGACCTCATTCATAGTAACCTTCACACTGACATGTTTGCACAAAAACACACTTGCACAAACTTTCGATTACATGATTGCATTTCATACAATTTCAAGTACACAAACATAATCATAGTCATAAAGATTACGTCACTACACCTAAATCTACCAGCAATCATACCCAACCTACGATTCATTGGGAGCTAATGACAGGGGCATGCAAAAGGGGAAACAATCCTAGTTGTCGAATGACTAATACGAACCTTAAGGGGTCTCTTGGGAAAGGGACCAAGAGAGAAGAAAACACATACCTTTTTTTAACATTCAAACCTTGAAGTTGCTTCCAAAAAATTCCACTCAAGAGCACGTCTAAGCCTCCTCAATATAGTAATCCACTCGAATGACAACCTCCCTTAGCCTAGTGTGCGATTAACGTTTGTTTTCTTGTGATTTCGTGTGAGTTCTTCTAGTGTGAAGAAATTGGTTTATTTTTCTGATTTTGTATCTTATTATTGAAGAGAAATATCTTGTTAAATAATTGGAGAGATTGAGCGTGAGAGTTGAGAGATAGTTGTGAGAGAGTAGGAGTTATATTAGACTTAGGAGTCCAGTTTAGGACTTAGT